CAACCCTCAATGTTGATTCGGAGATTCTCCTAGAGATTCTCTTAATGGGCCAAGATCCATATATCATTAAATTCTAGTTGACCTGAGGTTCGTACCTAGAATTTAACTATTTAGGTAGGAACATAGTTCCAACTGTCGAGCCGCGCTCACAGTTCTTGGTCTTGTGTTGGGCGAACGACAATACTACTTACGGACCAGAACACCGTTTCATTATACATGTGATTGGCTTTGGCACGTACCACATGCACAACTACATTAGTTAGAGCTAAGCCCAATTAAGTCATAGAGACCCAACTTTTGGCTGGATGAGTGAGTAAAGTAATTCGACTTGTCAGTAGAGTGACCCCAACGAAACCCGCCTCTAAGTCATCCATCCATTTGACCGAGACTCAGTTAAGTCTAACCCAACGTCTGACAATGACCACTTTAGTGATTCCCGTGACCAGCATAACATACACCGTACTACGCTTTGCTAGGGCTGAGTACGTGACAGTGCACATTAGCCGGAAAGGTGCCAGGCGCCGGAAGGCAATACAGACTTAATATTTCGAGGGATTTTAAATTTTACGATCTCACCTACGACACATGCCGCGCACGTGTCAATTTACTAGCGTTAAACATACATTCACATGCATTCAAAATACGCTGTAAATAAACGTGTAATGATTGTGGCCCCTAAAGGAAAAATAAAACGATATCTCCCACTGACTTCCAAGCACTTGGACTTCGGGCTATCTCCATTCCTTTAGATTCCCTCGAATGGACTTCAAATCTTTTATCTTCTAACGACCACGTGAGAAAAGAATCCTCGGTTGAGGTAAGAGAGAGAAATAGATTTACAACGAGAGTTTAAGAGATAAGGCACGACACGCAGGCCGTATTATAATCAAATAAACTATAGCCACAATCATCCACCATGCATATCATACATCCACACAGGCAATAGAGATATACATACACAGGGCGAATCGCGCTCGCCCCAGACAATTCTAGAAAAATACTACGTTGGTAATATTTTCTAAAATTCATAAAAATTCATAAAGTTGTCCAAAAATTATGAAATTTTACCAAGTCATCCTAAATACATTAGGTGACTTTCGGACAGGGTCAAAATTTGAAAAGAAAATTCCAGTAGATACAGAATTACGAAAATGCCCCTAGTGCAATGTTTATTCCAAAATTCATTTTAAATTTGAAATAAAATGAAAAAATCATGAAAATTAATTTCCAACTTCCAGTAACTATTTTATAAATTTATAAATCGGAAAAATAAATTTCCAGACTTTATAAATATTTATTTCCCAAATATATTAATTATATCTCAATAATTGCAAAAATAATTTTAAATCATTTTTAAAAAATCATTAAATTATAAAATTTAATATTTAGAAAAATCTAATTACTTTTTACTGAGATATAATTTTCCAAAATGATATTAGCCATTTTCAATTAATATATATATATATATATATCTATATATATTACTCGGTAATATATATATATATATATATATATATATATATATATACCAAAATATATATATATATATATATATATATAATTACTAACTAATATTATTTTGTCCAATATATTTATGAACAACTTTATTTCACCTAGAAATAATATTTCCAAGTTTTATAAAGTTCATTTTTGAGTTTCCAATATTTATTTAAGATTTATTGGAATTAAATCTAAACAAATACAATTGACTCAAGAATTGGAAATAAACAATTTCGAAAATTACAATATAATTTTACTAACCATAAAATGAAATTTTATGTTCAATAAAATTATATTAACAATTTCGAAATATATATATAATTAATATATATTCGAAATTTCCGAATATATGTATAAAATACATATTTTCGGCACAAATAAATAATGAATATTTATTTTAATGATTTATTTAAGTCCAATATTTATTCCAAGACTAAAATAAATCATTTTACTACTTTTCGAGATTAACAAATAATTACCAAGTTAAAATAATTTTCAACCAAAAAAGTTCTACAAAAACTATAGTTTTGTACGTTGGCTCTGATACCACTGTTAGGTAACCACGGTTGGGAGGGCAGCGGAAATACAAAAATTTAATCTCCCAATAGTGATTACTAGCCCAAGAACACGTACTAAAACTATAGCTAGAGATAGAAAGTTATACCTTCTCCGGTAAAGCGGTATGAACGAGAAGTCGAGCAAAAGGTGTTGATGGAGCAAACGTAGCCGTTCAAGCGTCCGGCCTCCAACTTTGACACACGAACAATCTCCGGAGTCTACTATAATCTTTATGCTAGTAAAGATTATAATAGTATATTAAAATATAAAGATTTAAGAGGGATAATATTAATCTTGTATATTAAATAGTAGAAAATATATGAATAATATTTTAAAGAAAATATTATATCAATTTTCTACACCCAAAATAATAACTTTGGAACTCAAAATGTTTTCCCCTTTCTCTCTCTACTTGGCCGAAAACCTCTTAATGGGAAAGTGAATGAATCAGTGGGCCCCTACAAGACTTCATCCTGCTTGAGTAGCAGTGACAAATTCTTTGTACGTAATCTACGTCTTCGAATACGTGTAGCGGCATGCCCAATACAAAGCCTGTATACCATCCTTATTTCATACGGCTTAGGACAATGAATCAAAGCATGCGGGTTCACACATAGCTTCTTGCATTATGAAGTTCAGACTCCTAGCAATATGGTTATCAGCGTAATTCCTGTGAATCTCGTATCTGATTTTCAGATCCGTTACAGGAATTCCACCCAGTCCAGACCGTAGGATAATAATTGCTATTATAGACGGCGAGAGTAGATGCGAACACTCCGTCATTGACCAAGAGACTAGGTCAAACATCTAACTCTCACTAGTCTCACGTGCACTAACGATATCCCGCTCTCGTTAATGCTTCGACTATAGACCGTTTAGAATTATACTAAGTGACAAGATGTCAGTCTCAACATCAGAAGACTCATTCTGATAAACATCTTATAATATAATTCTTGGAATGCAATTAAGAGTTTACATTAGCATGAGATGTTTGTAAACTTAATGCATCTGCCTTTACATGATAGAAAATCACTAAGATATTACAATAGCAGTTGGCCATAAGGGCACCAACTCCATCAAAGTGAGCGTATTTGTTTAATCGGTCGACCACCACAAAAATGGTATCAAACTTGTTAGATGTGGGTTTCCCTATAATGAAATCTATAGAGATGTGTTCCCTGATTTGCTGCGGTATAGGAAGTGGTTGAAGTAATCGTGTTGGTGTTAAAGGGTCATACTTCTGCTGTTGGCATGTAAGGCAGTTCTGCATATGGATGCGAACATCTTGTTTCAGCTTGGGCCAATAGTAGTACAATGATATGCGTTTGAGTGTCTTAAGAAACCCTCCATGGCCTGCCATCGGGGTACCATGGGCTTCATGCAAGAGTTTGTCCCGAAGGCCCGGTACATTTGGAATTACAATGCGCCCCTTATAAAATAAATTTTGACGTACCATTTTGAAACCTGGAAAGGAAGACGCGTCAGTTGACAACCCCTGGATAATTTTATGGGTGTAGGGATCAGTTCTTAAACCCTCATATACCGCTGCAATAGCCAAACAATAATAAGGGATTGCAAATGTGAGGAAATTTACTTGTTGGGGTCTACGAGAGAGTGCATCGGCCCCCTTGTTTTCTCTTCCCGATTTGTGCGTAATTGAAAACTCATAAGGCATCAGCTTCATTAGTAAACGCTGTTGTTCATGAGTAGTAACTCGCTGCTCCAATAAGAACTTCAAGGTGTAATGATCAGTTCGCACGAAGAAGTGTTGTCCCATAAGATAATGATTCCATTTTTGCACAGCTAGGACCAAAGCCAATAGTTCACGATCATATGCCGATTGAGGCGATTAGATGGTGAAAACCCTTTGCTAAAATAGGTGATGGGGTGGTCTTCTTGAATTAAGATGGCCCCAACTCCTTCTGATAAGGCATCATGTTCCACGATGAAAGGCAATGAGAAATCTGGCATGCGGAGAACAGGGGCTGAAATAAGCAACTGTTTCAGTTTAGTAAAAGCTGTCATTGTCTCATCATTCCACAAAAACCCATCTTTCTTGGTCAAGGCTATCAGGGGGCGTGCAATCAACCCATAATTCCGTATGAAACGGCAATAATATCCTGTTAAGCCCAAAAATCCCCGTACCTCACGAATATTAGTAGCTATGGGCCACACTTGAACTGCTGCTACCTTCTCTTGATCAACTTGCACCCCTGCGGAAGTAACCAAGTGTCCTAAAAATAGAACTTGGGACTGACCAAAACAACACTTGGAGAGCTTGGCAAAGAACTTCTGTTTTTGTAATAATTCCAGTGAAGTTTGTAAGTGCTGGACATGCAAGCTCTAGTATGGCTGTAAATCAAGATATCATCGAAAAAAAGAAGTATAGATCTGCGCAAGTAGGGCCGAAAGAGGTCATTCATGGCTGCTTGGAATGTTGAGGGGGCGTTAGTTAATCCAAACGGCATAACCATGAATTCATAGTGTCCCGAATGGGTCCGGAAGGCTGTCTTCTCAAAGTCAGAGGGATTTACCCGTATTTGGTAGTAACCTGATCGCAAATCCAACTTTGAGAACACAGTGGCTCCATGCAATTCATCCAACATATATGTTTGTGATTGGATATTTGTCAGCCACTGTAACCTTGTTCAGAGCTCGATGTTCGACACACATACGCCATGTATTGTCTTTCTTCTTATCCAATAACATAGGGCTAGAGAATGGGCTGGTACTGGCCCTTATAAACCCTGCTGTCTGCAGTGTTTGCACTTGCTTTTCAATCTCATATTTTTGTGAATGGGGGTATTGGTAAGGGTGTATATTGGGAGGTACTGTATTGGTTAATAGAGGGATAGAGTGACAGTGTGATGGAAAGGGTGGAATGGTTGTAGGTTCAATGAATACAGATGCAAAGTTGTGGAATAATGATTGTAAGTCTGTGGGTATCGCGGGTAGGGTTTCCGATTCAATACTAAGGTGTTGAAAAGCTGCAGACTGCTGAGGACCAGAAACTAAGCCTTGCAGCTTGTATTTCTGCCCATTGATGGTGAAAATAAGGAACATTTCATTCCAATTAGCCTGCACGGTGTTTAGAGATGCCAACTATTGAATTCCTAGGACAACATTTGCTCCTCCAATTGAAAAAGGATAGAAGTCCTGAGTAATTGTAAGCTCTGGCAGCTGTAGAGGAATTTCTCTACACACTTTATTACACCTGATTATGTCCCCATTCCCAATTTGAACCCCAAATGGCGGTACCAGTTGGGTTGTTAACTTTAATTCGTACACCAAGTTATCTGAGATAAAATTATGAGTTGAGCCACTATCAACTAAAATTAGGACCTTTGTTGCGTTTATAGTTCCATGTAGCTTCATTGTAGTGGTGTGTGATTTGCCCAAGATGGCGGGTAGACTAATTTCCGCTAGATCTTCCTAGGAAATAGCCTCTTCTTCTCCCACAACTTGTACGGAATCATCCTTTTCCTCCGTCGCGTGTAGTAATTTGAAAGTCCCTGTTTTACATCGGTGTCTAGGACTATACTTGTCACCACATCGAAAAAATTCGCCCCTTAGGAGGCATGCCTGTTTCTCAATATCACAAATGCGTAAAGGAGGATTCTTTTGAGGAACAGGTGGAGGATTATTGGGAGGATTTAGTTGTGAGGGAGTTTTGAAACTGCAAGCAGAAGCAGCTCCTCTTCTTGAACGAGAACATCCAATCTTAGATTCAAATTCAAGGGCTCATCGCATTGTACACCGTCCTAGGCTTATGAATCCTGACATTCGCCTTTAACTCCTCCTTGAGTCCATTTAGAAAGACCCCTGGCAGGCAGTTATCCGGCCAATTGGAAACGCTAGCAGATCTTTTGGCGAATTCCTGTCTGTAATCTTGGATGGATCCGGTCTGCTTGATACTGCACCAGTACTCATCTGGATTTTGATATTAAGCAGGACCAAAATTCTTTTGTAATGCCTGAACCAGATCTTGCCAGTAGATGATACCCTGACCCGCATTTAGCCATGAATATATGTCTAAAGCGTCTCCTTCCAAGTACATGACCGCGATATCCACCTTTTCATCTTCAGGTACATTGTAGCAACGGAAATACTTTTTTGCCTTTAGAATCCAGCCTCTAGGATCTCCATCACTAAATACAGGGAAATATATCTGGTTATAAGGGCAATAAGGACGATTGTTTCTCCAAGAGTACTCACCATCATCGGCAGGATCGTTATGACCACGTTTAAAACTGCTGTTACTAGAAGATGTAGCATGAGACTTGTGGGCGGCGACGTCGTCTTTCATGGATTCCATGACTGCTAGTCTCTCGGTGATGGCGGCTAACTGGATGGCAATGGGGTCAGGTTCTGCGCCCCCGCCTTCTGATTGGTTACTCCAGGTTGTTGGTGCCATTTGATTCCCGGCAACAGAACCAAACGGTAATGCTTGAGTCAAATTGATTGAATTTAGAATGAAAAAGTGTACATCAAGTCCCAATTCAAGAAGGGATAGTCTCCAGATTTTCAATGGAAAATAAAATGAAAAATAATCACCCAGAAAATAACATTGCTCTAAGTAATAATTCCCACTCTTAGGGGAGTTGGGTAACTGCTATGTAACCCACCTGCTCAGCCACTTAGTGGGTTGTTTGAGATGCCTATTAACATTTTGAGCTGCTCCGCTTCTGCCGGCCCATCCTTTGCCATTTTCTTTTTCCTTCTTGAATATACCAATCTGATTGGAGGCTTATCAGCACACTTCTTGGAGAAGATATATACAATAGGACGATATGCTAGTGGCCATCAGGCCATCCCATTGAAATCGGTGAAGTCAGTGGGTAAAAGGAGATCTAAAAAAGCTCCTTATTGGGAGAGGTTCCATATCTCCTGATTTTTAAACCAAAATCTAATTTTGCTCACCAAACACAATTTTCAGAAACTTGATATCGGAGATATCAAATCCCATATCCTTTTACCCCATCAAACACATCCTTAAGGTTTTTTTTGGTTGTGTTCTCAATGAAGATGTAAGTTAAGACAGTGTTTGACTGCTATTTAGTAGAATTCACAAGATTTATAAAATATGTTTACCAATTTTGCTTAGGTATACTGATTGTTTCTTATGTCAGGAAAATATTTATCGGTGCTTCCTGTGGACCCCAAGCTGGGGAAAATGCTAGTAATGGGTGCTATTTTCTGTTGCTTTGATCCCATATTGACCATTGTTGCTGGCCTCAGTGTTAGGGATCCTTTTCTTTTGCCTCAGGATAAGAAGGATGTAAGTCTACTGCTTTATGTGGTAATCTTTGTTTCCAAGGTGTGATCAACTGTTGTAACTTTTATTGACTTTCTTTGACAAACAAATAGTTAAATTTAGAAAAGATTGTAGTTGTTTTGTAAGTTAGTGTAGAGCAGAAGCATCCAGTCCGTAACAGTGCGAAGACCTGCAACATTCATTTTCCACGATCCAGGAGACCTGTTCCGACTTGGAGTCTTGCAATTATGGAAGTCTGATTTATTAGAGGTTGAGCTGAAAGCATGCGATTAATTAAGAGATAATTATCCATTGCACAAAGAGTCACAGTGTGTATAGAAGAAAGAAAAGAGTTGGCTTGAAGTTGAAATCCTAATCCTATGTGAAGTGCTAGAACTCCTAGTCTTATAAGGATTGTAAGGAGTGTTTTACTTTTATTTAGATCGGGTTAAATGTCTTCTATAAATACCACAAGTCTCAAAAAATGCATTAGGGATCCAGCTTATAATATTCATTTTTGTTAGTCTAGAGACACACTGATGAGATACATATCCACAGCGTAAACAAAAGAAACACATCTTCTTCATTGGAACGATCATGCACAAATGGGAGAGATGTACGACCATAATGTCTTCGTTTGCTGATCAGGAGTTGGGCTGTCAACACGTCCTTTGAAGATACGCTGGTGAAGGGGTGATAGCCATAAAGCAAGCTCAGACAGGGTTCGAGCTAGAAGTCTTAGTTTTGAGGTTTTGGAATAACAATTTGGAAATGTGTCATCATGTTGTTCTTGATCGATGCAACCTGCTTTAAAGATTTAGTGAAGGGCTATTACATGGGCGTGGGTCCTGCAGATTAAGAGGATTTCTCCGAATTGCGTAAACAATTCTTTGTGTACTGCTTACTGCATTCCTTCATTTCTATTTGTGTGTGCGGTACTGAAGATGTTGTAGCACATTGTTTGTCATTTTTTACAGTGATATAGCGTTTTGGATATTGCAATATTTTATACTTTTATTGCTTGTACTTTCAAATTTTAAATCTTCAGCTAATCATGATGATGATGGTTATAGATTTTTCAGTTTAGTATTCCTTGTGAAGAAGGTTGCGACAAGAAAGGCATCTTGTGTAAAACATTTTTAATATGCTTTTGTCCATCAAAATATAGATTTAACTTTTAAGTAATTTTGTACAATTAATTAGCATAATACATTGAATGCCACCAACCTCAACTAGTTGGGAATTGGGATTAAGATGTTGGTTATGGTGTTGTTATTGATGATGATAATGTTTATGATGATGTAGTTAGCTGGACAGCAAAGTCAAGATTTTCAGCCAAGGACTATAGTGATCACATGGCTCTTGTCCGTGCCTATGAAGGTTGGAAAGATGCTGAAAGAGAAGGTTCTGCATATGAATATTGTTGGAGAAACTTCCTTTCTGCTCAAACACTTCAAGCCATTCATTCTCTTCGTAAGCAATTTTCCTTCATCTTGAGAGATGCCAGCTTGCTTGAAGAAGAAAATGCAGCTAATAATAAGTTTAGTCACAATCAATCATTAGTCCGTGCAGTCATATGCTCTGGTTTATATCCTGGAATTGCATCCGCAGTAATAAGGCATTCTCTCATCTAAAATTTGTGTGGCACTCTTATTCCTTATTTCAACGGAGATGAGTTTTCTTTCTTTTCTATATGCAGCACAGAGAGACATCAATGTCTTTCAAGACAATGGATGATGGTCAAGTTTTACTTTATGCTGTAAGTGTGATTATGTGTCATTATCAACTATAACTTGGGGATTATTATTTACTTGATGAACTGATGAGCTTGCACAGTTTATACTGCATAATCTTTGCCAAACATGTGAAAATATCTTTTATTTTATTAAAATCATTCTAGTTAAATATCCTATGCCGATTATTGATATTAAAGTTTTTGAATTTTATTTGGTTCATAAACATTTTCCCCTCATTTATCGTATCAGGTTTTCTATCCATGGTAAACTTTTGAGTTATATGCATATTAAAGTCCTTGTAGTATTTAATAAGTGGGTAAATAGTCCTCAAACTTTTAAAAGTTATCAAATAGTCCCTATAGTCATACAACCATAGCATAATTAGTCCCTATATTAGAAAATTCGTAAAATGTACACAACACGCGCATATTATGCAAAGACGTCAATCATGTGATTGTAAAAACAAACAAATCTGAAAGTTTAGTTGTGATGTGTAACTTTGAACCATAGTACAATATCTTCCATCTTTTAATTTAGCTCTTACAACTAAATCTCTGTCTCTCCTATAGTGTGTTGTATTTAGGTGCCCTAGCGGCAATCAAATACATATGTAACTGTACACTTTATCATGAATGAAAGGCTTTGAAGTATGTTTTATATCTCGTGTAACATAACATAGCTTCAGTCCATAGACGATAGCGCTTCAGTAACATAGATGAGGACTACGATGTTCTGATTATGAGACTGTTACTTCTTGACGAAGGCTATGTCTAGAATATGGGATCAGCGTGAAATACTATTATGCCTGTAGTATTGCATAGTTCTGATCATGCATGCTCTAGAGATAGTTGCGTCTCATAGACTATAGGTATTGTGATATCTTAATCTGTACGTAGGTGCATATTATATCGATAATATGTGACTGGATTGACCCATCTTGAGAATACTGCATGGATCTACAGTAATGTGTTTATCAGTGTTCTCAATTCGACCTTGCTATAACTATCCTCAGACTTGAAGTTATTACATTCTCTGATATGTGGGGTCATATGCTTTGATTCGTAACGAATGCTATCTGAAATACTGGTAGACATACAGTTATGCGTTGGGTATGCCGCTAAGCATATTTGGAGATGTGAATAACAGATACAGGATCTGTCCCTTCTACTGTATAGAAGTATAATGTCAATGGGCCCACTGAATAGTAGGACATGGGAAAGTGCATGGCCATGCCCAGATATGTCTCTATCTAGAGACTGATAAATATCTGATCCCTACTAGTCTACTTGAGATTCAGTAACAGCTGATTTAACTATACAGGGATACACATCCCATGCCTTGTGTTAAATCATGACATCTAGGACAGAAGGATAATAGTTATAGAACGTCTTGTGTCGTATAAGGTATTGATGAGATGAACGTCTTTTTCATAATCTGGGGGTAATAATGTGTTGCTAGATACTGCTTATTATGTATCGTATTAATTTTATTAATATTATTACCAGTATTATGGATACCTAAAGGGTCACACACTTAGGACTTGTAAGGGAGTAGTATACTACACTAGTGGGAGTAATATTAAATATATAGCTGTGATAATTTTATAAATATATATGTATTTCGAAAATACATATGTATTTTAAAATTATATTTTGTTTGTGTCATTTTAATTAAATGATAATTATATTTTTGACAAAACAAATTTTATTATATATATATATATATATATATATATATATATATATATATGTAGTGCCGAATATATATATATATATATATATATATATATATATATATATATATTATTTTTATCATTTTAATTATAGTATAATTATTGATGTCAAAATAAAATGTAATGTGCTTTTAAATTGGGATGGCCGAAAATAGCAAAGGGAAAAATACAAGACATAAATTGATTTTCTAACTAATGATATATTTGATTGAATAATCAAATATTTGATTAACAAAAGGATATTTGTCTTGTTGTGTTGGTTGGGGACATTACATTAATCCTAATTTGTTTTGTCCCTAAGCTATTTCCTAGAAATTCTTTAAGTTATGTTATATAAAGAAAATGAATTCCTCCCCATTATGAAGAGTGAAGTTTCGGCCATCTCAAAGAGAGAGAAGAAAATATTTATTTTGTGTTCCAAGTTATTTTTCTAAATTGTTAGAAATATACACAAAATATTTTAAAGAAATATTTATAAGATAAATATTTTTACTATATATTTATTACTCCAAAAAATTGCTGCTGGGTACCCCTAATTTTGGGATAAAGACTAGCAGGTCCCATTGTTTTTCAAAATATACTCCGAAGTACCTTAAGATATTCGAAAATTGACTCCGGGGTGACAATCCGTCATTCTCTCCGTTAACCTTTCTTTTCCGTTATCCTCCTCCTCCTCTTCTAAAAAAATTGCTGCCAGGTACCCCTTATTTTGGGATAAAGACTGGCAGGTCCCATTCTTTTCTTCTTTTCTTCTTCTTCTTCTTTTCTTATTTTCTTCTTCTTTCTCCTGCCTTCCAGAGTTCCAGTGACCTCCATTCCTCCACCCACCTCCGTTTTTTTTTCTTCTTTTACCTTTTCTTTTGTTTTTTTCTTTTTCTATTATAATTATTATTATTTGTTAATAATTATTATAATTAATTACATCATAATTATTATTTTCTTATTCTATTATTATTATTATTAATTTTTTGATTTATTATTATTACTATTATTATTAAAAATTAATTGTTAGTTTTACCACTCTTTTCTATAAAAACACTAATTGTTATTTAGAAAAATAGCACTTATTATAAAATAACACTTATTATTAATACTATTATTTATTTTAAGCAATTAATTAGTAATTTTTTTCTATACTTTTTTAAAAAATACCACTAGTTATTATTATTACTTCATATTAATTACTCCTCTGTTCTAGAGTACTTGTCTATTTTTGTTTTTTTGGTCAAAATTGATAATATTATGTATTTCCTATTATTTCCTTAATTATTATTAAAAGTTAATTGCAGAGTATAATTTTATTACTCTATTTTTAAGAAATACGGAGTAACAATCATTATTATTTAGAAAAATAGTACTCCGCATTAGTCATTGATAGTCGTCATTGGTAATGGTGTCATGGTAAATCGAGAAAACAAGAGGACTTTAGAAAAGAATAAGATGAAACAATAAAAATAGTGTTAAATTTAATATGTCTTGTAAAGATAATATGAAACAATAAAAATAATGTTAAATTTAATATTATTATGAATTACGACGTATAATTTATAACCAAGTGAATAAATAATTTTAATTTTATAAATGATACGTAAGTTCCCTCTTCCGTCACAAACATCATATTTTAAATTCCCATGAGTAAATTTTTTTAAAAAATGGGACCTGCCAGTCTTTATCTGAAAATAAGGGGTACCTGGCAGCAATTTTTTGAGAAGAGGAGGAGGAGGAGGATAACGGAGAAGAAATGTTAACGGAGAGAATGACGGATTGTCACCCCTGAGTCAGTTTTCGAATGTCTTAAGGTACCTCGGAGTATATTTTGAAAAACAATGGGACCTGCTAGTCTTTATCCCAAAACTAGGGGTACCCAGCAGCAATTTTTTGTTTATTACTCCCAAGGTAGTATTATTATAGTTTTTACTATCCTATATTAAACTTGCTAGCACAAGTTTAATCTAGGACTCCGGAGCAAGTTCGTGTGGATACGTTGGAGGCTTCATACGTTTGGCGCTACGTTCATCTCCTCAAAACAATCCCCGACCGTTTCTCCGTTCTCCATTTTTACCGTTAAGGTAAATTTCTTACTATACTAGTAATTTACGTAAGTTCTTGGGTGGAATCGAGTTTTGGACTCTAAATTTTTGTTATCCGCTGCGTTATCCAAGCCTCGTTTCCCAACAGTGGTATCAGAGCCGGCTTACGAAGTTACTAGTTTAGTTGTTTTTACCGTTATCGTTTTTGTAGATTAGTCAATAAATTTTGGAGACAAAAATTTATCCCATTATAAAATTTAATTAGGTGGCCATATTTAGATACTGGACCTAATATAATTTTGTTTAGTAATTTTCGGAATTACTGTTTGGGGTATTTTTATATTATTCTTATTAAGTAGTTTATGTGTAGAATACTTGTTATTTGTGCCATAAACACTTAATATTTATGAAAATTAGATTTTATATTTTCTGGGATGCATTTGACATGTCAATATAACTCAGAAATTTTAAAATCGATTTTTGAAATTAGTTTCCTAATTTTCTATTTTTAAATTCGTTTATAGAATAGAAAATAGGAAAAATTATTTTTGACGATCAAAAATTAATTTTAATTCATAATAAGTTGCGACCAGAGATTTTAAGCTTGTATAAAAATTTTCATAATTTTTAAGAACGTAAAAGTATTTATTTTGTATTTTTGAAGTAATTCGATCGGCACTATTCACTAGTCCAATTTTTAATTATTTAAAATTTCAACATTAATATTTTAAATTCTGAAAAAATCATATTCTGGTTCTGGAACTTATTTTGGACTTGAAAAATAAATTTTGATATTTTTGGAATTTCGAAATATACTTTCACAATATAATTTCGGTTTGGGAGCCTTGAAAAATGGTTTTCAAAATTTTAAATTTTATTCATTCTGGAATTTTAGGATTTCCAGATTAATAAAGTTTACTGGGAGTCTCCAATAATTATTTGCTAATTTAGAAAACATATATGTATTTAATTCGAAATAAAATCCCTTTTTCGAATGTAAATACATATATACGGTAAATATAAAATATTTTATTTTCTGGAATTTAGAAAATCAAATTTCTAACATTCTGGAAATTTAAAGTATTTTATGATTTTTAATTAAATTACTTGTTAGTTTAATTAATTTATTGTTAGTTTATTCCGTAGAATAGAATAAACTAGGTTTGGGGTGAGTGCGGTTCGCCCGGTGTATGCTTTAATATATATGATGTGATGCATGTGATGCTTGTATGTATTATTGCATGGTGGATGATTGTGGCTTAGTTATATTTGTTATAATTTTAAATACGGCCTGCGTGTCGTGCCTCATCTCTATACTCTGGATGTAATTCTCTTCTTTACCTCAATATTCTTTTCTCTCGAAAATTATAAGAAGAAAATAAGACGAAGTCCGTTCGTGATGAAGAATCCTAAGGAAGACGTGATGGGCCGGAGATAGAGATCTCTTGATCAAGGCGCTGTCTTTTGTTTTTCTTTAGGAGCCACAATCATTTCATGTTTACTTATTATGCATGTGATGTATGATTGAATGTATGCATGTATGTGATTTTCGCTAGTGCATGCGCGCGGTGTATGCCATAGGCAAG